TACCACACCTGCATGCATGTGTGCTTGCACACGTGTTTGCTATTAAAATCTATTTGGTGTCTGGATTCAGATAGATCTAGAAAGCAAGAGGTACTACATTACTGGAATCTTGCATTACGCTTCAGAGAGCAAGTAACAAGAGCTAGACAGCAAATCTAACTGAATCCATTCTGTCAATCTATTTGGTTTCTAGTTGGATGGGATAGTATTTGAATAACCAAAGTAGATAATAGGGATTCTTGTGTTTGACTCTCATGCTTCTCTCTCTCTCCTCTCTCTCTCTCTCTCTCTCTCTCTCTCTCTCTCTCTCTCTCTCTCTCTCCTTTCTTTCTGGGAAGATATATGAGAAATAGGCTGTGATTGCTGCTAGACAGTGTTATTGGGCCTTAGAGGCATGAGGTACAAGGGAAACTTAATTTTTTTGTTTACATTTGTGTTGAGGTAGTTGTTTTGAGACAGTCTCACTGTGTAGCTCTGGCTACTAGAACTCAGTGTGTTCACCAGGCTGGCCCTTAGATCCACCTGCCTCTGCCTCCTGAGTGCTGGGATTAAAGGCATGCACCACTGTACCTGGCTATGTTGGGGTAGTTTTAAAACCTAGTGCCAGAATTCAAGAGCTAGGGGTGGAGCAGTCATATAGCTCAGTGGGAAAAGGCATTTGCTATGAAGTCTGAAAACCTGAGTTTGATCCCCAGGTCCCACATGGTGGAAGGAGAGAACGACTCCAGAAAATCATCTGCGACCTCCACACATGCGATGTGGCACACATGCACACCCACATATACACAATGAATGAAGAAAGATTAAAAACAAACAAAACAATTCTAGCACTGGGGTTGATGGCCCTTCCTGCTGGATCTGAGCAGCTTTACTGTCAGTGAGACCAACAAAGAACCATGGAAATAATGACACGTGGCTTTCAAGGCTGAGTCATAGCAGGGCATGCAACCACTTCTGGTTCTTTGAGGTGTTTGGCTTGGCATACTGTCTCCCAGACCCCAGGCCATGAAGGGCGGCCCTGGGAGCTACTGAGGACCAGAGTCTGACAATTGGTCTCATATGTCAACTGTGTGAGTGATAGCTAAATGGGAAGGAAGTTTAGTTTTGTGAGATGTTCAAATGATACCCCAGGAACCCAGGTGAAAACCACTTTTTGTTTTGGGTTTTATGAGATGAGGTTTTACTCATGACAAGTCTCCTGCATCGGCCTCTCAAGAGCTGGGATTATACACGTGCATCACCACATGCTGAGGTCATAGGCATAAACCACCATGCCCTGCTCACACTGTTGTCTGCTTGGGGGTTTTGCGTTGTTTGGATACATGGTTTTACACTGTATCTCAGGCTGGCCTGGAACTCAGTCTGCTGCCCCGGCTGGCCTCTAACTTACAGAAGTCCTTACCGCAGCCTGCTGAGCATCTAGAATCACAGGTGTGAGCCATTATATCTAGCTCCACAGTATTTTAAGCCACTGAGTTTTGGGTGTATGTGTGTGAATATGTATTGGAACATTTATATTACCATGAACATTACCTGTTCAAAATCTAGAGTTTCTTTTTCATTTTATTTTTACATTTTATTTATTTTGTGTGCATGTGTGTGGGCTTGGGTTTGCCATGTCATGTCATGCATGTGGAAGGGGACAACTTGTGGAAGTCCATTCTCTCCATGTAGATCCCAGAGTTCAACATCTTGTAGGTCCAAGAATTGTTTACTTGTTAAGAGTTTCTTGTGTCAGGTGTGCTTAACCTCTTTGAATGAGTACATAACTGGTAAGATGGAGGTTAGACTCTGTCCTAGTTTGCTTTCTTGTGATAAACATCATGACCAAAAGCAACTTGAGGAGGAAATGGTTTATTTCGTCTTACAATTTACATACAGTTCATCTTTGAGGGAAGCAGAAACCATGGAGGAACACTTTATTAGCTTCCCTTGGCTTGCTTAGCTACCTTTCTTATATAGCCCAGGCCCACCATCCAGGAATTGGCAATACCCACAGTGAGCTAGGACCTCCTTTATTAATTAACAATTAAGAAAATGCCCCACTCGCCTTTAATACCAGGACTCAGGAGGCAGAGGCAGACAGATCTCTGAATTCAAGGTCAGGTTGGTCTACATAGCAAGTTTCAGGTCAGTCAGGACTAGATAGTGATACCATCTCAAAAAAACAAAAAAAGAGCTGGAGAGATGGCTCAGCAGATAATAAGCACTGGCTGCTCCTACAGAGGACCTGGGTTCTGTTCCCAATGCCCACTAGGTGGCTAACAACTGTCTGTAGCTCCAGTTACAGGTGATTGGATGCCCTCTTCTGGCTTCCTCAGGCACTGCATGACATGGGTGTAGTACATACATGCAGGCAATACACTTATGCACATAAAATAAAAATAATTTTTATTTTTATTTTATTTATTTATTTATTTATTTATATGTATGTATGAGAGTATTGCTTGCTTCATGTAAGTGCATCTGTGTCATGCAATGCCCACGGAGGTCAGAAGAGGGTGTTGGATCCCCTGGGACTGGAGTCATGGATGGTTGTTAGCCACCATGTGGGTGCTGGGATTTGAACTTGGGTCCTCTGCAAGAGCAGCCAGTGCTCTTAACCACTGAGCCATCTCTCCAGGCCCCAAATAAAAATAATTTTTTAAAAAATTTCTTACTTATAGACATGCAAAGAATGGTACTAAGTGTTCGATGGGAAAGGAAGTATTTGTTCTTCACCAGATTCTGATGAGAAATCTGCTTAGAGGAGAATCTTTTGAACAAAGTCACACAGCTGTAAACCAGGAGGCTTTCAGCTTCAAGGCTGTCGTGGGTCCCAGTTCAGATCCTTGCTCATCTTTGATCTTAGCTGTCATTTCTCAGTAGGGGAATTGGAATGGGGAGGGGTAGAAAATTCAAAGCCCCTAGGGGCCAGGTGAGTAATCCAAAGGGAAAGTGAGCAGGAGGTTCCTGAGCAGCCTTAGTCTCAGAAGAGTGCCAGGAGGACCAAAGTTGCCATATCTTTGAGACAGGGTTTCACTATGTAACCCTGGTTGGACTGCAACTCAATATATAGGCCAAGTTAGCCTCCAACTGGAAGAGCTCCACCTACCTCTGCTTTCCCAGAGCTGGGATTAAAGGTGCATGTACCACCATGTCTGGCTCCACATCACTTTTTTGAGACAGTATTTCTCCGTGAATTTGGAGCTTGCCCATTTGGATAGATTGACTGGCCAGGGAACCACCTGTTTCTGTGTAAACCCCCCACCCCCGCCCCGCCCAGCCCCTCAGGGTTAACATAGCTATGGCTATGACTTACTTTTACATGGATGCTGGAGATCCAACCTCAGGTCCCCACACTTGCATAGAAGCACTTTACCCACTGAAGGAGTTTTTAAGAAAAATCAGAAATTCAATTTTATTTTATTTTATTTTTTTATTTTTATTTTATGTGTATGCGTGTATTGCTTGCATGTAGATAAGTGCACCCGTGTCATGCAGTGCCCGCGGAGGATAGAAGAGGCTGTCGGATCCCCTGGAACTGGAGTTACAGTTGTTAGCTGCCAGGTGGGTGCTGGGATTCAATCCCGGGTCTTCTGCAAGAACAGCCAGTGTACTTAACTGCTGAGCCATCTCTTCAGCCCCAGAAATTCAATTTTTAAGTGTAATCTATTTCAGTTTAAATATTGGCAATTAACTTTTTTTAAACTGGGAGGATTAAAAAGCAAAACAAAAGAAAAACCAAACACTTCTGATTTGCCTCCCTGAACTAGAAAATCTCTAAGGAACCTGGTTCAGATATCACGACTTTCAGCAGAACCTCTCCAGGGAAGACAGCACAGATTCTGCTCGCTAGGGGTTGGAATGGAAGCTAGCAAGACAAGTGGGGGTGAAGATGCTCAGCCTCTTCTCATACTCCCTGCCAGGAAGTGTTGGGGTGCAGGAAGCCAGCCCAGCATTAGGAGCAGCTAAGCCTGCCATAAATCAGGCGCCAAAACCTGCTTGCTTTCCTGGGCTGTCAGCTTGCTCCCTGGGGCTGCAGGGAGCTGGCACAGCACCCGAGGAGAATGAATTTCCGTTGCACTGGGAAAACAACCCTCTTCCACCTACTTCTGCCCCCAGCTATTTTCTCCTTCTCTGCCTTGGAATAGAAATCCTGCCCTTGCCTCCCTCCCCATAGTGGGCCCTCCTCAGCTGAGATGGAGCCATGTATACCGCAGGCCTGCAGTCTTTCTGGGCCTCCCCTGCTTCTCTCACGGTGGGTTCGATTCCGTCCAGAGCTCAAGGCCCATTCCATCCTCAGCACACTTGTCTTTCTCTGAGACCCAGCCTGGCAGAGCACAGCCAGATGATTGATGAGCTAAGCTGCTAGGGCTGGCAGGCAAATGGCAGCCAGCCAGAGACATGGTTCTTACAAGATAGCAGAGGCACCCTGGAGAGAGACCACAGCTACCAGGATATGATGGTCCCTGGGGTCTCCCCCAACTCTGCCTCTCCCCACCCCCTGAGTCTGGGCTGGTGGTGCTGGGAGCACTGGGCAGAGCAGATAACCAGGAACAGCACAGTGCTGCTTCAGTGGGTGTCCCACCTTTCCCCATGCCAAAAGCAGACCCCACAAGATAGCATGGAGCTGCTTAGAGCTAGGAGTGTTGGTCATTGCAGCATGCTGTGCAGTGCAGGTGTTTATAATCTGCCTACTCATTCATTCATGCATGCAATGTGAGGGTTCACTATGGAAATCAGCTCCCCACTGTAACTGCTCATGTGGTCTTGGAGGGGCAGGCTGGTGTGAATCCAAGCCTTCTAGCTGTGTGGCCCTGGCCAGGCTACATATAAGCAACAGTTTCTTTCTGCAAGATTCAATCAGATGACACAGGTAAAGTACTTGGAACAGGGCCCGGCAGCCTGGCGTATGAAAGATCAGTGTATTCTTTCATTTGTCCAATGGTACATAAATGGGGGCTTGTAATATGCCTCCATTTGAGGGGTCATAGTCAGGAATGAGTCAGAGGAGGTGCCTGATCTCAAGCAGTTTGTGTTTGAGAGAGAGAAGACTGGCGATAAACACGTAACGGAACAAGGAGATAGCAGGTAGAGGAGGGAACATGGAGGTTGGTGAGCAGTAGCCAGGAGAAGAGATCGCCATGTAGCCAGAGGAGTGAAGGAAAGAGTTGTGGAGATAGACTGGGGATCACAAACAAGCCAGGTCAGCGTGGCTTGTAGGCCAGGATAGAGATGTTATTTTAAGCACAGTGGGAAGTGACTGTTTTAGTTTTAGTTTTGCTTTTCAGCCTGCACAGTTGAAAACAGAAGGAATTGTCAGTATTTTAAGCAGGGGAAGGTAGGATGGGGGAAGTCAGAGAGCAGCTGAGGTGGAGTAGGTGAGCAAAAATGGCTTCCCTCCCCTTCTAGGTTCCTTGGTGGGTTAAACATTAAATTGACATGAAGCAGAGGAACAGGCGAAACCCCACACTTAATTACCTACTCCAAGAACGGTTATATGAGTGACAGCATCCTGAGCTACAAGAACAAGTGTTTTCAGCTTTTGAAGGAGGAATGGCAAGACTTGAGAAGATGAGGGGAGATGTAAGGTGAATAGAGGCTTTTTTTTTATACAAAGTCTCCCATGGAACAAGTCTCACAGCAGCCCGGAAATGAGAAGGAGATAGGCTATCTGGGCATGGTGTCAACCTCATCTCCTGCTTGATCTTCCATGGATGGTAAGATTCCTGGACCCAGGTGTGGTGTCACCTGCCTGTCATCCCAGAGCTTGGGAGACAGAAGCTGTAGAGCTTGAGGCCAGCCTAAGCTACATAGTGAGACCCTGTCTCCAAAAAGCAAGGGCTTGGGCTGTAGGTCAGTGGTAGACAGCTTTGTCTAGCAATATTATAAGGCCTTGGAGTTGATCCCCCAACTCTGGAAAAAAAAAATCTGTGGAAAGGACATTCATAACAACCAAGTTCTGTTTGAAGGATCTTATTTTAAAATGTATTTCTCCTTTCTGATTTTTGGCTGTGGTTTTCATTTTTTGTTTCAGACAAGGTCTCATTATATAGCACCAGCTGCTCTGAAACTTGTTATGTAGACCAGGATGGCCTCAAACTTGTAGCAATTCTCCTGCCTCTGCCTCTGTGCTGGGATTATAGGTGTGTGCTACCACACCCTGCTACAGTCACTGTTTATTGGTGTGTGTGTGTGTATGTGTGTGTGTGTATGTATGTATGTCTGTGTGTAGGTAGCACCTTTACCTGATGAGCATTTCACCTGCCTGTTTTGTTTTTTGAGACAGGGTGTTATGAAGCCCAGATTAGCCTGGAGTTAGATATGTAACTGAGAATGATCTAGAACTCATGATCCTCTATCCTGAGTGATAGGATTACAGGGCTGTGTCAATATACTAAGCAACACTGAATTGTTAATATGAAAATTCAGAGGGACTTCCATCTTTAGGTTAGTGGAGGGTGGGTGTTCATAGAGAGCCTCAACCTGCCCTCATTGTCTTCCAATTGCCCCCCAACTCAGAGGATTCGTCCACTGGGGTGGCATTCTCTGATCTCAACCATTTGGACTTTGGTGGCAACCGTGTCAGATTCACAATGACTCAAAAAGCTGAAACAGGTGTTTTCCTGGATTTCTGGGAGGAGGGAAATCAAAGTCAATCTGCCTAGGGTGATACCTGGGCTTTCACTTAAGCATCTCCATGGCTAGGCAGTGCTGTTCACCAACATGGGTAGACTGGACAGATAGGGTCCCATGGCTCTTAGGGATAATCAGTATCTTGCTTTGTGCAGGAAGTTAAGAATAAAGGATTCAGAAGTTAACCGGGCTTGTTGGCACATGTCTTTAATCCCAACACTTGGGAGGCAGAGGCAGGTGGATCTCTGTGAGTTCAAGGCCAGCCTGGTCTACATAGTGAGTTCTAGGCCAGGTGGGGCTACAGGGAGACCGTCTCAAAAAAAGACCAAAAAGTAGTTGGTCTGGGTTTGATTTTCAGCACCAAGAAGCCAGGAGTGGTGGCATATGCCTGTAATCCTAGCACTTGGGAGGTAAAGGGAGGGAAATCAGAAGTTCCAAATCATCCTCGGTGATTTCAAGACCAGCCTATTATGATAATCAGTCTCCCCCCTAAAAGAAAATAATAAATAATAAATGGTTCCCTGAGGTCTGTGTATAGAGAGAAAGAAATAACTGGGCAGTGACCATCTAGTGAGACCAGGGACTGTGAAGTGGGGGCTGGGTGTGTCATGGAAAAAAAGCATAGTTCTCCCCCCATGCTGTGGGCTCAGGATTTCTGCAGCTTCCCCCTGCTCTCCTCCCTTCTCTCTGCTCCAGCCACACTGGTCTTTCCATTCTGAGAAGCCATGTACTTCCTGTTTTGAGCTGTTTACATGCTATTTGCTGCCCTTTCCAGGAATACCTACTTTGCATCTCAATCCTGCATCTGTTCTTCCTTTTTTCACCCTAACAGCATTATCTTTTTCTTTAAAAAATTTTTATTTTTATTTATTAATTTTTTAACTTTTTTGAGACCAGGTTTTCCTGTAGCCCCAGCTGGCCTGGGACTCACTATGTAGTCCAAGCTGGCCTCAATCTCACAGAGATCTGCCTGCCTCTGTCTCTAGAGTGTTGGATTTAAAGGCATGCACCACCGTGGGTGCCCATTGAACTTTGGATCCTCCTGTCTCCACCTCCAGAGTGCTGGGATTACAGGCTGCAGTTGCCGTATCCAGTTCTATGCATTGCCAGGGATTGAACTATGGGCCTTGTGCATGCTGGCACTGTACCCAGTGAGCCACATTTGAAGCGCAGACAGTGCATGGCACCGATCACTGGCTTCTTGCTAGCTACTGCGATGCTTCCCCTCCCATCCCAGGAATCACTACAGGGTCATGGAAAGCTCACTGAGGCTTGACTTTCCTGGGATGAGCAGTTGCCTGGGGTGGTTATGATTGGAGCAGGCCTTTCTGGAGCCGGAACGGCTTCTGTTGCAATGGTCCTTGCAACTAGAGTGTTCGTTCCCAAAGCAATTGGAAAGTATCCAAAACTACTAAGCTGTCAGTGCAGTCAGCTGCCAGGAAAGGGGCTTCTCAGTGGGCAGTTGTCCACTCTGGGTCACCTGGAATAAGGGTCAGTTAGCTGCCATTCACAGGCCCAAGCAACCTGCTCCCAGAGGTTGGGCTCATTCACAGAAAATACTATAGGGTGCTCATGATACCGACTTAAAGAAACTCAATGCAGTGCTTCCATTCCCAACAGTATTTGACAGTGCTTAAGGTATACCCCAGGGCGCTGGGTAGAGGGGGGAGCCCTCTGATCTGTGTCATGCCCAGCAACAGTAACACCTGTTCTGTGCTCATCTAGATGTCACAAGGAAAGGACATAGTTAAGGACAGCTTTACTCACCAGGTAGGCGAGAAGACAATAAACAAGATGTAAGGCCAGTAAGTGTCATCTGAAACATGAGGAAGCTGGGGGCTGCAGCCATGGGAAGGGCTTTGCTGCAAAAAAGGGGTTAGAGTATAGAGCTGATAAGTTCTGGAACTTTCCCCAGAGGCTGTGGGGCACTTGGTATCATTTATACTGAAAACACTTCCAAGGTGTGCCAGTGTTAGGAGACATCAGTCTAAGTTCTGAGCATGTGTTAGAAGTGCCAAGGACATTTCAATCGCTGACCTCCTGACAGCATCATCTGTCCCTTTAGGAGGCTTTATGACAATGAGGTAATGTGCATGGATAAAGGGACATTCAGTTTCCTGATAGAGGGGACCCTAAAGTGGGAGCAAGCATGTTTCCCCCTACAAGTTGGAAAGGGGACAGCAGGGACAGGCCTGGAGTCAGGGCAGGGGAAAGGGGGAGGTTGGAGGTTGGAGGGTGACAACTGGCTTCTTTTCAGAGCCAGAAGGGAAAGGGAATGTCCAGGCAAGAGGGAGGGGAGGATCCAGCAGGTATCTGAGGACATCCTCTGGAAGGGGTGGTTTAAGATGGTACAAAGGGCATTCAGATCAGCTGTGCAGAGACTAGGATCCAGCAAGGGGAGAGGGGTGAGTTTCATGGGAATCTTGTGGGTACCAGCTCCCTGCATTCCCTTAAAAATGTCTCACTATGGCCAGGCATGATGGCACACACCTTTAGTCCCAGCACTCAGGAGGTAGAGGCAGGCAGATCTCTGTGAGTTCGAGGCCAGTCTGGTCACCATGGTGAATCCAGGACAGCTGGGGCTACAAGGAGACTCTGTCTCAAAAAGACCAAAAAAAAAAAAAAAAAAGTCTCACTATGTAGCTGGAATTCGATTTATAGACCAGGCTGGTCTTGATCCTCCTGCCTCTGGCTGGGATTACAGGTGTGAATCACCATGCACGGCTTTTGCAACTATTTTTAGCATCTCCCCAGGCTACAGAGAGGCAGCCTCCAGAATCCTCCAGGGCTGCCCTCTAGATTTCACTCAGAAAGAAGCAGGCAGGGTGCTGCTGGGTCTCTGCAGGTAGGAAGCCAGGATGGAGATGAGGAGGGGAAGCACACTGCATCCCAGGGCTCCCTCCAGCTGCTCCTCTCCTTATCCATGCAAAGCTGGAGTTTCTCTAACTTCCAGCAGCAGATCAAATGTTGCTTCAGAGCCCTTGGAAGCTGTGATACTGGGTGTGGCTTTTGTGCTTTGAAGGAGGAAAAAGAAAACCTTTGCTTTCTGGATCCTGTACCCAGGTAACAGGCTTACTGAGTGACTGTGGAAACAGAGGGCTTAGTTCCAAAGTCAAAGTGGGCCCTGTACCAAAAGTAGGAGCAGGAAAGGCAGGGAAGCCAGTCAGCAAGCACCTCCCCTTTTCCTCCTGGAGAAGTCAGAGGCTGAACAAAAGAGGCTACTGGGGGCTAAGGCACAGCCTGACTGTTCATTGTGACTCCAAGCTTTAGTCTGGGTCTCCCCAGCTAAGACAGAAACAGCACCCAGGCCTGGCAGTTTGCCACATGTTGGGTGGCCTCAGCTCCACTGCTTCTGGTCTCTGGGCCTCAGCTGTTATTTAAAAAGAGGGGGTTGAAGCCACCCTGCTGCATCCTTCCTGGTCTGTTTGAAGCTCTTCCCTCCCTCAGAGCCTGGGTGGACACTAGACCATCTCAGATGCCATTCACCCCTCAGCTTCCTTGGACAGAACAGTGTTGCTGGACAGCTGGTTTCCAGCAGAGGTCTGTACCCTTTTCCTCTCAAGGGCCGGAGAATAAATGTTTGGGGCTTTTCTGACTATTTCAGCTCTCGTGATGACTCAACTCTGCCATTATAACAAAAGCAGCTGGGTAAGATATAAATGAATGAATGTGGATGTGTTCCCATGAAAGTTCATTTATAGCAGCTGCATCTGAATTTTTTTTTCTTAACCTTTTGAGACCGGCTCTTATCTTGAACGCCTAAGTGTTGGGTTTACAGGTGGGTACCATTACACCCACTGATGTCATCTAAATTTCTTGGTAATATTTATGTGTCAAAGTTTACCTCTTTTCTCTTTGGAATAAATAAAAATATTCTAAAATTTAAAAGAAATTTTTAAAGAAAGTTTACTTTTTTTCCCCTGTCATTTACCACTCCTAGCTAGCAGGCTGTGCTAAAACAGGGATATGGCTTTGCAACGTGGACTGCTGGTCTGGTCTCTCAACCTGCCAGGAACTGTTTGCTTATCTATAAACTGCTGACCCAGGCATGGTGGTGCCTGCCTAATCCCAGCAGTAAAGAGAT